GAAAATGAACATCAACCTTAACCCGAAAACTGAACTAGACTCCCCCACAAAATTGAATAAAACTGTATAGTAAGAGGAGGCTATTTGCCATCGAAACGGTGGATGTTGTAAATGGAGAAATTGTAACATAGTTATAAAGGTGTTGCTAAACAACATTTCTCCTGCCGGAATTTTGCAATGAAACATGTGAACAAATCTTTAATGTTCAAAAGGCAAGTCCTAGAACACGGACAATTGCACACAATAAGCTACCAGCAAAATTAATGCGCATGCAACCAACAACATCAGAACAGCAAATACATCTCTTCAAAACACAAATGACCCAATCTATGCATGACATCAAACACCGACCGGAGAAATGTTAGAGTAATGAGAAGGGAAAGAAAGTTACATGTTGGTGCGCACTGTTAAACTTAAGCATCAGTTTCAAGGTCTTTTTTGTTGGCGCTTAAATTCTATGCAAAAAACAATGGATAAACACATATCAGTCGGAACTTTCAAAACCTTGAGTTTATGAAATACTGTAGGGAAACACGATACTGGTGGTTGCAAGTGAAAACGTGTTCTGAGAAACAACTGGCAATTGAGAGAGAAGGTGAAGAGAGGAACATGATCATGACATATAAAGGAACAGACCTATTCCAATTAACATCAATTAACTATGTAATTATTAAAGGAATTACCTACTAAAGCACATCACTCTCTGAAAATGGAGAAATCAACCACAATCTTTTGAAAGAAACATACGGAAACATCATGATAGATATTCCGCAAGAAAAAAACACAAAGGACACACAGCAGAGGAGGAATGACGGCACGACAACAAAAGTGGACACTCTTGTAATAGTGATCGGTCAGATGGACAACTTTCATAGACTTACCGAATACAAATTCCGATATTAACATGATAGTTAGCGGCATTGGGGTGGAATACATAGATGGAGAACAGCCAAACAGGTACACGGCGAAGCTGGCTTGTACTGTAGTCTATAATATCGGAACCAGTCATACCTGATCTCCCGGAAAATACAACAGCAGGAACAATTGACCCCCTCATCCAATCCTAACATCATTGAAAACTAGCAACAACACTTCCCCAGATACTCCCACACAAAAACATCAAGACCACGGATGAAACATGTATTGATCATTCAACAAAAAAACACAGCAGGCAACATACAAACACAAACTGTCCTAGCATATCCGTCCACCATATCCCTTTTGCCATCTTTTTTCACCGGCACTACTTAAGCACACAAATTTGCAAGACAGCGATGTATCTACACAATTTCACATAGCCGTCCTCTGTAGCGATCCTTTTGACTTAGAATGATCTTGTAGGTGCAGGATGGTGCACGGATCCTATAAGTCCAGGTTTCAAACATCCATTGCGCATTCTGCTGAGGGCTCACTGATTGAGCTATGACATCTAGGAAGGATCTTTTCGTGACACTGTTTGTCGGTGCCAGGCCGAAATTCCGGCAGCTGTTTGGGTTTGGAAACCTGGTAGATTTTTTGGGGTCCAGTTGTAGATGATCAACATCTTGGCTTGGGGATGGAAATGACAATCATAAGATGATCATTACAATGACGACGACGGTGGTGGTCCAGGTGGAATAGGAGCATCCTTGATTAAACTTATGAAATAAGAATATGTGTATAACAACGAAAATAATGACAAGACTAATATTATACATGATTAATATATATATATACATTATAATCATGTATAGATAATTAAAAAACTATATCTCATGTTGAACTTGTGATTTCCTTCTCCCGCTTTTTTTGCATCGTTTTACCCAGGTTGGAGCCGATGCGATCAAGGTCCTGGCCGGCCCCACTTTGGCCCAGCTGGTGTACCAACCACCCCCCGAGGTGTCCTTGGAAGCGTTGGGCTGTCAGCTGATCATTTTTTTAAAAATGTTTTTTTTTGTGATGTTATTATGATGTTATATGCTTTATGTATCTTTATGTATCTTTTTTGTGTTTTGACCTCTGATGAAATTGCAGCACTGATGGAAGGTTTTGCGCCAACAATTACTGTACAACCTTTTTTGCAAATGATTGGAATTTCGGCCCTGGAGAGCCAGGATGGTTTTCCACTCCTAGACTAGATTCGGGGTTTGAAGCAGCTGACGCGTGTCAGCTGGATCCTTGGGTACCCTGAACATCCACAAGCTACTGGCAAACCATCCTGGATTTGCGGACCTTGATGTTTGGACGGCGAAACTTCGACCGCCTAGTGTCCTGAAAGAGCTTCCTTTGCATTGTATCAGCATTATCTGGGGTTTCAGATGAGATGGGGCCAGGATGTATGGGTGAAATGACATCTGTGATCTTGTTGTATTCCCACCTGCAATGTTTGTTCACAGCAAGGAGTCCTTGCCGAAGCACCCTTTACTCCAAGCAGCCTGCAACTCAGATGTCAAGCATGAAGGTGGGTGGCATGTTTTCGAACCTGGAGCCTTTGTGAGACATTTTGGGAGGAGCAAACGGCAAACTATTCTGGACGCATTTGGGGAGATCACTGAGATCACCTGTCCGACAATGGTTCCTGAGTTGTAGGCAGATCGTGTCCTCCAATCTACCGACGACAAGCAGGAGAAGCCGCCGAAGGCCGGTGATGCGCTGTCAGTAGGAAGGGTGCTAAGTACATCTAAGTACTATGTCTTGGACCGGGAACTGACAAATGGGGGAACTCTTCCGATCTGATTTGTGCCAACAAAATGTGCAATTTTTGAACAACCTATAATTGGCCTCAAGCCAGGAATTTCTGACTTGGAGAAGTATTTTGAGCATCTCCTTTGGTCCACACTTTTGAGATCCTGCTCGGCCTTGGTCCAATGGTGTGGCACATATGGACCGAATCTGAGGACGAACCAGTGCGAGCGCACGAGTTCCGAGCGGCCGTGTGGACCTCAGTGGACCTCAGTGGACCTCAAGGAGTCGCAACGACAGTGGGAAGCAGCAGTCCTACCAGGATGCCCGCTTTTCTAAGACATGCATATATGGCATACACATAATCATTGATAATCATTGACAATCATTTACACAAGTTGTATACAGTATTTTTTTGCAAGTGAATCTCTCCCTTGTATGAATGCCAACTCAACCTAGATTGCTGATATTTGTACGTGCACAAAGATTGCTGATATAAATTTTGAATTTATGTGGCGAGCGTCAACATGTACTGAATACACACATTTGCTCACTCCTCATGCTTGGCGGCACACTTCAAGCAGCCTAGGATTGCGCTTTCGGCAATCATAGGTTTGTAGATTTTGTAGTCAAAGTGGCAAGGCGGATGGACATGGCAGTTGCTGAAGCAGAGACACTCTGCCATTGCATTTCCACCCGCAGCTTTTTGCTGAGAGATTTCTGGGACCGTGCTTGCGACCTTGTGCGGGAGGCAATAGAATTTAGCCGGGTTTTTGGATAGTTCTGGTTAGATGTGAGAAGATGTGAAGATGTGAGATGCTGCAAGAGCAGCAAACAACCGGTTATTTGTTCAGATCATGCTGATCCCTGGCCGAGTATGCACATGATTGTCGCCATCCTCATGTTGATGGAAACAGGATGATACGTATGTATATGTATATATATATATAGATACAGACAATATATATATATACAGACAATATATATATACAGACAATATATATATATACACAGACAATATATATATATACTGCAAATATAAATATATAGTATAATATAATATAATATAATATAATATAATATATAATACAATATAATATAATATAATATAATATAATATATAATACAATATAAAATATAATATAATATAATATAATATAATATATAATACAATATAAAATATAATATATAATACAATATAAAATATAATATATAATACAATATAAAATATAATATATAATATATAATATATGAGTTATGATATATGATATATAATATATAATATATAATATATAATATATAATATATAATATATAGTTAATAATATACCATATATAAAATACAATATATGATATTTAATATATAATATAGTATATAGTATATGATATAATTTAACTTATAATATAATATATATATACAATATAATATATATATATACATAATATAAACACATGTCTATACACATAAAGAATCCATGGTGGCTGGGCAAATCTGACTGCCGGGCCTGCCGCCCTTTGGAAGGTGCAGCTGTCGATGCGATGGCGGAGAATGTCCTGGCCAAGCAGGCGGCAGTGGAAGCTGCTAGCCGCTGCTAGCGGCTGCTAGCCATTGAAGTAACAGTCAGTCTTGAGATGAAGTTTGCAAGATGGCTCGAGATGGCCAGAAAATTAGCCAGTGCTGAATTGTTGGTTTTGTTGTTGAGATATTGCTGCTCCTTCTTCTGACTGAGGATGAGGATGATTTCATTTTTTAATCCTGATCGTTCTTGCTGTTCGCAGCCTCATGGGCTTTGTCCAAAATCCCATGGTCGTCAAGCTGCCAGTCGTGCCAGTCGTGCCAGTCGTGCCAGTCGTGCCAGTCGTGCCAGTCGTGCCAGTCGGTCAAGCAGTTCTTCGAGAAAGTGAGGACATCCTCATACCGCGTGGCAGCCTGGAAGAACTGCCGGACCAAAACTGCCCAGGATTTTGTCAGAACCTGTAGTGCAACAGCAGTGCCACAGCAGTGCCACAGCATCCACAGGTTCATGTAGATTGAATCAGATTGAATATGATTGAATCAGATTCATGTAGATTCTAATTATGTTTGATTTGATCGAATATGGTCCAGCCACCTGGGGCCATATGCAGATGCTGCAAGTAGTGCTCAATTCTTGCGAAAGGTACCGAGAAGTGTCATAGCAAGTGCAAATTTAGAACAACAAAAACACATTCAAAGGATAGCAATTTCGACCCTGAATTGCGCCATCAGCCAATTCAACTCTGTATGAATGACATGCGTGGCTGGGGTCTCTGGTTGACTCGAGAAACTCTTTGAAGAGATCCCAGGCGGATCCGCGAGCCATGTCGAAATTCTTTGTTTGTCAGAGCACGAACTGCAAGAGGTTAGAGTCGGAGAAGCTTCTTCGGGACTTGGAGGCACTGGAGATAAGCTCCACCTGTCACATGTCAGGTCACATGTAGTCAGTGGGGCCACTAAGGAGTGAATCAGCAGCTGAATTTCTAAGGAACTTGCAGACACACGGAAGGGACCATTTCTCATTGTGATGAACTCATGCTCGATGAACATTTGCGTTTTGATTGGTGATACATATAATTTATACAATCATTGTTTGGTTGCATCCCCCTTTTGCTGCTGAAATCTATGTGTTGGGTCAAATACATGTGTCATTGTTTGGCCACATTCCCATTGTTATTACAGTATCCCTCTATTGATTGGTAGAGTGTTTTCCTAAGCTGTTGGTTGCACATATCCATTACTATGACTTTCTTAGTGCCTAGTGTTACTGTATTCTTCACATACCTAGATCAACAACTTCTTGATTGCCCATCTGCAGACTTTTGTGAGATCCAGCTCTGGTTTTTGTTGGAAGGAACTTTGCTCACTGTCTCCTGGCTGTCAAGCTGTGCACTCGGGATGCCTCGACCTGTGTGGTCGAGGACCCAACGTGAAAATTCAAACGCCAGGCGGCAGGGAACTCGGTGGTAGATAGATTGTACTTTGAAGGAGCATCTGCTATGAATCTATGAATCAATAAATCTCAATAAATATCAATAAATATATTAAATGGGGAATAATTCGAATAATACGAATAATTGTCAAAAGGTGTTACGGTGGGTTATTCCCGTTATTCCCCGCAAAGTGGTTGGGCACTGTGGGCATGTTGAACTATAAGGCCAGTCTTGGCTACAAGTCATGAGTTGACCTGCGCAGCAATGCCCCATAGGAGGGTCGATCGAGTCGATCCTCTTGCTTTTCCCAGAGGCACCCTCAAACACAAAATATGTTGAAGCGAGAGGAACAAAATACCATCAAGAATAATGGACTGTTCAGTCTCCCCAAAGGTGTGTTCTTCTTGCGGGCTTTCAGGTGATCAAAAGGTGGTGGAGGGTGTCAAGACCTTCAAGGCTGCTAGATCCTTGCTGGAAAAGCATGGCGTGAAGCTGCGGAAAGTGGATTTCCAGGTGGGTGGGCAGGGGGCTTGGGAGAACAGGATGGCTGATCCTGAAGTTAAGCAGCTCTGGCCTATTGGGGGGCAGATCACAACAGAAGTGAGTTGTTCTTTTTCAGCCTAAAACGAGATGGCAGTAGGAGACAAAGACACTTTCATTTCGTGCAATTACTACATGCCTTACCACAACACCCAGAAGATAAACTCTTTCACCGACATGGAAGTATCATGAAGTATCACATTCAGGTGGCGGAAGTGAAGTACGAAGCCCGGCGCCAGAAGACCAGTGAGGATCGGCTCAGTAAGGTGCAGCAAGGTTTTAAGGCCATTGGGGGCGAGACCAGCACCAAAGAGCCCCAACTGGCGAGCAGTTTATTCGCACTTCGAGCCGAAGAACGGGTGACTCAGGATGCCACAAAGGCATTGGAAGATGCGAAGAAAGCTATGGAATTGACTCCCGACCTGGCAGGGCCAAGGTGGACTGCAGCCTTGGCCATGCTGAAGCTGGGACAAGTGGAGCAAGCTAGGGAAGAGTGTGGACGTGCACAGGATGGTAGTGGAAGCTACAACAAGGAACACATGCGTCTTGTGACAAGGCAATTGGCTGAAATTCAACAACCAAAAGCCGAACCACCCAAGGCGGAACCACCCAAGGCGGAACCACCAAAAGCCGAACCACCCAAGGCGGAACCACCCAAGGCGGAACCACCCAAGGCGGAACCACCCAAGGCGAAACCACCCAAGGCGGAACCACCCAAGGCGGAACCACCCAAGGCGGAACCACCCAAGGCGGAACCACCCAAGGCGGAACCACCCACGGTTGAACCGCCCAAGGCGGAACCACCCAAGGCAGAACCACCCAAGGTTGAACCGCCCAAGGTTGAAAGTGCAAAGACGAAGCCGGAAAAGGAAGCTCAATCGGAAAAAGCAGTGAAGGCTGAGCCTGCTGAAGCCAAGTCCATGGCCAAGGCTCCAGGAAAGGCTCCAGCAAAAGCTGCAGCAAAGATCGCAAAGATGGCCCACTCCAAACATGGAGAACAAGAGGGCAAAGATGGAAAAAATCCAGCCACAAATGGTGAAAAGGCTGAGGTTGGAGAAGTTGGAGACAAAGGAGAGAACGGAGACAAGGCAGGAGACAAGGCATCAAAAGTGCCCAAGGCTCCCACTGACAAAAAGCTTTCTCGATCGGCAAGTGGACTTGAAAGGGCTGAGAAAACCAAGAAGCTGACAAAAAGTGCTACCGATCCATGCAAAGGCAAAAGCTCCACCAGCAAGCTTGGTGAAACCAGTGAAAGTCAAACAAATCAAGTTCAAATACTTCAACATCCACATCATCCCGAAGATACGCAGACGACTGCTGCCGAAGTGTTGAGCGCCTCCTCTGCATCTCACGTCGCCGCAGAACTCAGCGAGACTGGGCTCATCGACATGGGCACCTCTGCAGTCGAGCCCGGATGGCGCTCCCCCATGCTCTCGCCCACGCGAAAGATCGTGAGCCTGTGATGTTTTAAAGTGACGCGAATGATGAAAGTGATGAACGTCTTTAAGAAGGTGCCAATTCAAAGATGTCGAGAGTTCCAGTTTCACGAGCGGCTTGTGTTTTATGAAGTTTGAAGTACTGCTGTTGTTTCAGAGATTTTCTGCTGTTCTAGCTTGCCCATGGGCTACCCCACTGCACGGCTACAAAAAAAGGTGCGCTATTTGCGGCTCATTTTGGCGCAAAGACTTAACAGGAACTATTTCCATTCCCCAATCCACAGGAATCCCTCAAGGAGGAAGCTGGTTTCCACTGGCCCTCAACTTGCGTGATTCACATATGGATTCACTCAAGGATTCAGCAGGTTTTCGGTCTCGGTTGAGGTTGGAAGGGTTGGATCATTTTGGATCATGTTGGATCATGTTGGATCACCTTGCAGGGTTCCTGCGGAAAGTGGTTCGCATGTCCCAAGGCGACCATTTTGGCCATGGAGGACGAGTCCTGGGTCGGTTTGAACCTTCGGCCATCTCTGTCAGGTTGATTCCATGATTGTTGAATGACCGTTGCCAAATCATGCCAAATCCAAATCCAATACGATTCGGGCCTTTGAATTGAAGAGAAATATAAGAGAAATATAGGGCCTGACTGTGACTTTGTGAGAGTTGGTTTTATATAATGTGTCGGCTCAGCCGGATTGGTTGTTGCCTAAGCCTTGAGAAGAGGGTTGTCAAAGGCTCCCAGGCTGAAGATGGAGAGATGTCTACAGAAGCATCCCAGAAGCATATCTGAATTCCCCCTGCAACATCCTTTTGTGTCACTGAACATTGAGATGATCTCAATATATCATTCATATCATTCATAATCATTAATATATCTCAATGATATCTCAATGATATCTCAATGATATCTCAATGATCTCCAAAAAATCTCAAAAAATCATGGAGCACTCCTGGGATTCATCCTTTGACCGGCCTCCGGGGAAGGCTTCGACGGTTTCGACTCCCAAAACACGGCCACAGCACACCGTGCACACCGTGCAGGATCGTTCTTCGATCGTCCCAGGAGCACATGGAACGGGCGCGGAATCGAGGGCCCAACGAATGCCACTTGTTAAATGGGCTTCAGCAATGTTTAGTATATGTTTAGTACGCATTAGTGACTTCATTACTTTTATTTATCATGGTAGGCAAAGATTCTGGTCTTCTTTTCGGGTGACATATCCATTGAAACAGAGAGGTTGAGATCCATTGATACCACGAAAATCAATTGGGGTTTCAAAGATTTTCTAAGTACTTGCAGATCATTTGTGGCGACGACCTGAGGAATCTCCAATTAGACACACGTTAGACACACGTATCGACCTTTGCTGAGAACCCAATGGATTTGTCGGTGATTCCCAAGCATTCCAAGCAATCTCCATGGTGGTTCACCATGGTGCACAGTGCACCTTCAAAATTTTGGTTGCTTTGATTTGTGGCAGATCCAACAGGGGGCGAAACGTGCAACTATGGACCCGCAAAATGGGTTATTTGGTGGTTCTAGACCATCATTTTTTTGGTACTGAAACATCAGTTTTTTGAGATCGATGATAACTATCATAAGACCTAACATGATTATACGTAATTAGTAATGAATTAGAAAACTAACAGTCTAACAACAATCATGACAACAGATGACAACAGTATCGCAGGACGACAGAGCGAATCGCAGATTCCAAGGCGTGGCAATGGCTGGTGTGCTGGGATGATCCTGGAAGGGTGATGAATTTGGTGAGATAAAACATATATTCAGCCGTATTCGCATATTTATACTTGCTTATATGGTGTAATAACAATATATATATAATATGTATAGACATGCTATATTATAATATTTCTGATAATATATATTTCTATATATGTATATATATATATGTATATGTATATGTTTTTTTTTCCCTGTGGCCCACTGCTGCTTCACGCCGCGGCCTTGCTGTGTCCATGAATTCACCACTTACCACCTTCATCCTGCGAAATCAGCACCCATGTGGCTACTGACTGTATTGGGTCACTTAGTGCCCGCCACCGTGCCAAATCTTTCGGGATGGGTCCTCAGTGGTCCTCACACCAAATTCGTCTAATCTGGTGCGGAAAGCAGTCGCTAGTGCTCCGCACATAGCCGGAGGATACTCCTTCAAGTATCCAGTCTTACAAAAACCTTCGGCCGTCAGTATATATATATATATATGCGCAAACATGTAGCTTTGAAAGCAAACAAAAGAACCATGTATGGTTATGCCTCCAAGATCTTGTGATATGATTCCAGTTTTGAAGGATATTGAAACCAACCGAAAAGATTCGCTTCTGTGGATCTGGAGGTGGATGCCTTTGAGTGGAACTTCTCGGATCCCCGAACGCCACACTGTGGACGGGTGGACTTGTGATGTGCTCAGGGTCCAGGGTTGTCACTGGAAGACATCGCCATCTCGGCAGTCGGAAACCGTACGAAACCGCTCAATCCTTGGGGTTTCGCTGGCAAAAACATCTCAGTTTGGGTTGCAAGAGTTCAAAAACTGATGCAATTAGGGCAACCCATTTTTTTGGCATTGTTTCCCCCTTTCTTGGTCGAAAGATGTCGAAAGCCTTCTAAAGGATCTTCATCCAGTCTCCCTTCGGAGGATCCATGCCACGTCTTAAAAATTGACCGTTTGAGGCTAAGCACGTACAACTCCTTCTGTTCGGATCGTGGTTCCTTGATCGCCATGCCGCCGCCACCAAAGCGCAACAAGAGGACCGGTCCCAAGTCTTATCGAACAAGGGGTGAAACAAAAGACGCTAGGGATGCATTTGGGTATGTGGATGGTATGGCTCAAAATTGCTAGACCCCAACCACTCTTTTAAAGTTCATAATATTTGCATATCTATACCAGGTATGCGATTTTATCTCTTGGAAATGGATGCCACAACATGGCGCAGCTTCAAGGGTTCAAACTGGATACGAGCATCCCTTGGTGGGCCCCTGAGATTTTTAGGGAGCTCCGTTTTTGGTTTGCGCCACCCAGCGTTTGTCCCTGGGGCCTCATCGGCCTGTGCTTCGTGGTTGGCCTACTCATCAGCTGCATCACTGGTTTTGTGATTGGGGCCTTGTTTTTTTCATCCCATTGCCGTTGAATCACCATTCAATTGCTGTCGGTGACATTGGCATGGTTGCAGCCTTCTATCCCTGTTGCCAGAACTGATTTGGGTGCGCGGCTTGATGAGTACCGGCGTCGCCAGTAGACGCCCCAAGGGCTGCCGGCTGACTGCGCTGTAGGATTTGCTTCTCCAACAATCAGCACTCCTTGACTTCTCAGCTTTTGGGTGACTCAGTGTTCACTAGAGCTTTGCAGAGTAGTAGAGACATAGCTACTCAGGGTCCCAGTCGGTTGAGCCTAGGATTGGATTCTCCGATTTTTTATTCGGATTGGTCTTGCAGAGCCAGTGTGTTTGGGTGGTGAACACGAAACACCATCTACATCACCAAAGTTGGAAGCCGGGGGTTCCCCTTGTTTTTCACTGTGACTCCTTCAGCCACGTACCAAAATCAGAGACGCGGGCCTAGTTGGCCTAGCCACGTCGACCGTGGCCACATCTGGAACTATGAAAGCTCCCTTAGACCAAGGTGCGCTACAAGCCTTGGTCGATTCAGCTGCTCAAGCCAGAAATTTGCCTGCTCTCCACCTACCATTTTCTCCTCCTGCCGAAGAAGCTGGGGCTATAGCAGTGTGTTATGCTTTGAGATATCGCCCCAATGGGTTCATGGTGCTTGCTCCAAATCACCCAGATGTGCAACTGGCTTTGGTAGCAGACCAGCCGGACGAGGATCCTCCTATGTTCCACGAGTCTCAGGTGAGCCTCGAGAATACCCGAGGCCGGGTCTTGGGTGCAACAGAAGTGCTTTTGGTGGACATGAGTTGGTCCTATGTGCATCTGTTTTCTCCGGCAGCTGCATTCAGAGGGCCCGTGGCATCGCGTCCACCATTAGTCCATATTCAAATGGGAGATCAGCTTGGCCGCCCCACCAAAGCCACTGCCCTGGAAGCAGCTTCCCGTTGGATTGGGGAGATGGATCAGGAGACCGCTCAGGATTATGCCACAGCCGAGGAGGGCGTAGAAGAGGCTTTCGACTCTGCAGATCCAAACTTGGATGGCGAGCCTATGGGCGCTGCTTCAGAGGCTACGATTGCAGCGCTCTTGCGGCGCATCGAAGAGCTCGAGGCCCGGCCTGTGCTTCGACAGGGGTTGGTTCCGCAGCACGCTCCTTCCAAGACACCGACACTGCTCTGACTCCAGCACAGTGGGGCCGGTTGAGGCAGTTTGCCGGCACACCGCAACCTCGAATGGCGCAAGCAGAGCGGAGAGGAGCTGCCGCCAAGACCCGCCCTCAACCTGCAGCAATGCCTTTTCCAGATTTAGAGCGAGAAGCAGCCGAGCCCGAAGTCGAGCACGAGGCCGTGGTTGTGCCGCCGCCACCTCCTGCAGGGTCGTCAATGGAACAGATCATGTTGCACCAATTGCAGCAAAATCAGGTCCTGTTGCATCGTTTGGTGTCCGGTTCACGAGCCACAGATCCGGTGCTGGGAGCTCTGCAGTCCGGAGGACGGGACAACGGCACCGCCAGCTCAGGCGGCAGTGGCGTCAGGGGTTGCCTGGCCCGCGAGGCATTCTTGAAGACTGTTCAAGATCTGGTGAAAGTGGGGATGTTGCCCGCCAAAACGCTCTCAAAGAGCTCGGCATGACGCCGGAGAGACACGACCCATCGTTGATGAGGCGCTACATAGAACGCCGGGTGCCGCTCGCCGACAACCGGCTTTTGGCGCAATTTGGGACCATGTTGGCAGAAGCTTGGGCTGTGGGGGCTGCATCTCAGAACAGCGAACTCTTGGGAGTGATAGCTCGCATGCTCTTTTTCCTGGAACAATGTGCCATCGATGGCGGGAAGAGTCAACTAGCATGGCTCCTATTATGTGGATGGCAAGAGCCAGCACAGCACCTGATGGTAAACCATCGCCGTCAGCCGGGACTTCAACCATTCTCGAGACTTTGCGCCCTAGCTTGGGTCAGTGGGAATCTAGCTTATCTGAAAGATTTGGACTTCATGGAAAGCCGACTCAATCAGGTGAGCAAACCACCTACTGCCAAAAGCCAGGTGGACGATTCAGACAATCTGACTCCCAAGCCCAGGAAGCCCAAAAGACCAAAGGGGAAAGGAAAGGGGGATGGAGCAAACAGTGCGGCAGCGCCGGCGCCAGCGGCGCCACAGTGAGCCCTTGCCACCAATATGAGCCTGCAGTGCATGATTCCTCGAGTGAGCCAGGCGGTGGTGCATGTGGGTCATCTGTTGCACATAGTTCTCCTCAGAATAATCTCCCTGACCTCTCTAAACCCCATGTAGTTTTTTCAAGTGTCAATTTAATGCAAGCCGCATGCCGTGGCCTTCGCTCATCCTACACCGGATTAGGTCACTTTGTAAGAGCTAGTTCAGACTGGTTAGTTCCGCCTGCGTTGTTGAAAGCTCCCCAAGGGATCTTTGGCCAGTCCCTCCGCCCAGGTGGTGTTGGACTGGATCTGCGCGTTTGAGTCCGCGGCGTCGTCGTCGCAAAGCATTTCTCCAGACACGGCATGAGCTCCTTCAGACCGTGGTGTGTTGCCTGAACTGGGAGGTGCTAGGTTTTCCGTTAGAGCCACCCAAACACGCTCAGCTAGGAGCGCCAATATCCGTACAGCAGCATGAGATTCTTGAGCGTATCGAATCCATGTTGGATCATTTCCTTCGCATGCCAGAATTTGAAGGGGACGGGTTGGGACGGGCTCAGGAAAAGTATTCAAACATAATTAAACACATACAGGAACTGCCCTTCAGTGGGTTCGAGGACCTAACCAAATTAGCTGAGCTAGTGCATGAAAAGTTCGACCCGTATCGTGGCCATTTTGGCCGTGCTAGTGAGTTTCAGAATGTCGCTGCAGCTGAGCCCCCTGCCCGTCCGTCTGGGGCGACCTCAGGTCCCAGCATCATCCCTCCACCGAATCCAAGCGGTGCTAGGCCTGTCGTGTCAGACCGTGTGAAATGGAAAAATCCGCCAAGCTTTGATGCAGAGCCTTTTCTGTCAGATCCATTGGTGCGTGCTGCTTTTGTAGATCCCGAAGTTTTGCATAAGGATCCTTGTGAATGGCCCCCAAGCAGACCCCCAAAGCTAAACTGTTCTAAGAGTGAATTGCTAAAGCTTGCTAGTCGGTGGGATGAGCTAGGTGCATGTATGCTGCTTCCCTTGGAGCAGAAGAATTTCAAGGAAGCAGTTGGTCTCTTCTGTGTGGGGAAAGATGCTCAGTATGATCGTCTTATCATCAACCCAGTCACCATGAACAGCCGAATGCACAGCATTTCCAAGTCCACCAAGGAATTGGCACCAGGGTGTATGCTCGGTTTGTTGCATGTGGAAGATGACATGATGTTCCGTTTCCAAGCCGATGATCTATTTTGGTCTCAGAATCTAGGGCTACCCGGAATGCCATTCGTCAAGTTTTTCATTCCCATGAAGTATCCCATTTCAGATCTTATAAGCCTGAGTTCGGTGGTAAACCTTTGTTAATTTGTTCAAGGACTTTAGCCATGGGGGATAGCCTAGCGGTTGAAATAGCCCAGCAAGCTCACAGCAATGTGTTGCGTCAGTTGTGCGGGGCGTTGCTTCCACACGAAACCCTCAGGTATCGTTGTCCTGTCCCTAGGTCAGATTTCATCGAGCTTCTTGCAATTGACGATCATGTAGGAATCCAAAAACTTCCGAAGGCTGTATTTGAGGACAAACCCGCGATGAGGGATACCAACGTGTTTGCTGCTGCTGGCCGGGCGTATCAGCAGGTAAACTTAATCCAGCAATACTCCAAACAAAAACGTGACCAGACGTCGGGTGTCATTTTAGGAGCCGATTTTGATGGTTTAGCTGGTAAAGTAATGGCTCCTAGGAACAGGGTTGCTGTTCTCATCCTTTTGACCATTGAAGTTGCTTCCAGGGGAACCTGCACTCCACGGTTGTTGGCCACCCTTTTAGGTTGTTGGATTCATGTACTTCTCTTCCGGCGGGTTCTGTTCGCTATCATGCATGACATCTTTAAGCAAGGCAGAGGGCTACCCCAAGACCAGGTTTTCACTTTGACTCAGCAGTCCCGGAACGAACTTCTCATGCTCGCTGCAGTTGGCCCAGTTGCTCAAAGTGACCTGCGTGTAGGGTATTCCAAGCACTTGTATTGCACAGATGCTTCACCCACAGGGGGCGCAGTCATTAGAGCAGTGGTAGGCAGTAAAGTCACCCAAGAAATCTGGAGACACTCTGAGCAGCGTGGTTTTTATACCAAATTGCAAAGCCCAGTATCTGCGACGCTGACCGAACTGGGATTGCCATCTGAGGTGGTAGAACAGATAGCTCCTGAACCTCTTCATGTCCCCTCTCCAACTCCCACAAGAGTTTTGAGTGAAGGAGTGCTTTATGATTGTTGTGAACTGTTTCAAGATTCAGGAAATTGGAGTTTAATTCATAGTGACCAGGGGCTGTCGTGCCATGATGGATTTGATATTGGTGGCCGCTGCCTGCAGTTTAGCGACTTGTCTTCTGCCAAAACCTGTCAACAAGTGCTTGCACTGGTGCTGCGGCGCGTGGTGTGCGATTGGCACGCTCGTGTGCCTGGCCTCAGCTTTGGTATTTTACGTCGTCCCCAAATCAGATCAAAAGCTAAGCCTAATGGTTTTAACCCCAAAGAACCTCGCACAGCTTACCACAATCTGTTGGCCCGTAGGACGGGTTTGATCCTGACCTTAGCCATGATGTTAGGACAATTCGTCAGCATCGAGCAACCTGGAAGTTCTCGGATATACCTCTTGCATTGCTTTCAAACCATGGTGAGACTTGGCTGCGTGATCTCTCATTTCACCTTTTGTAGCTACGGTAGTGCTTTTCACAAAGCTCCAAAATGGCTGCATAACAAACCTTGGTTGGTTGGGTTGGAATGTGAATGTCAGTGTCCCTTTAAGGGCAAGCATTTGGTAGCCAAGGGCCATTTCACAGAGATATCTTGCCAAGAGTTCAAACAGCGATGTCGTCCTTCCTGTTTCGCCGTTTACGGTCGTGAGCCGAAGCCAGGAGATCACATGTCTTCGCTTTCAACGACATATCCGCTGTATCGCTGCCAAACTCCATGGTGCCAGCAAGATGCCCATCCAAGCTCAGTTGCGTAGTTTGCAGGAAGTTGGCTCATTGGATTGTGAACCTAGTATTTTGCCTTGCACTGACCCCTTGTTTCCTGATCGTCTTTGGCATGAAGACCCAGAATGGATCAGTGATTTGTCTGAGAGTTTAGCCTTCAAAGAGCTTTTTCGTTTTCAGTTCAAGGTACCAGGTCACATCAATGTAAATGAATCACGAACATACAAGTCTTGGATCAAGAGCATGGCCAAATCGGAGCCCAACACTCGTTTTTGTGGTTTGTTGGACAGTCGGGTGACGATGGGTGCTGCGTCTAAAGGTAGATCCAGTTCGCCAGCCATTAGTAGAGTGCTTCAGGGAACCATGGCTTATATTATAGGGGGTAACCTGTATCCAGGGCTGTTGCATTGTTATTCTAGTGAAAACAGAGCCGACGACCCTTCCCGAAACCGACCTCTTCGCGGTCCATCCAAGGAGTTGCCACGCTGGCTGACTGCCCTCGAAAGAGGTGACTCTGGCCCTTTTGATTGCGCAGTAGCTGCTAGTCGTTTCAGTAAAAACCCAGCACGCTGGTTACGCCTCCTACTGCTTTTAGGAGGTGACATTGAGCCCAATCCCGGGCCGACTTACCAGGCGAGAGGTAAACTGAACATGGCAACGGGTTTCGAAGCAACTACAGCTTCACGGATGGAGAAGTGCTTAGAAGGGATCAGGCTCTGGTGTGACAATGAAAAGCTGGATTGGAATGCCCTTATACAAGAGCCCCACGCCTTAGCCCTTGCGCTGCGCGGTTATGGTTTGTACTGTTTTGAACAAGGTCTTCCTCGCTATCTGTTTGTGTATGCTATTACGGCAGTTCAAGACAAGTTTCCTCTAGCCCGAACATTTTTAACTCTGGCTTGGCAAGTAGACAAAAAGTGGCAGATTCATGAACCTGGAAGTTGCAGAGCAGTTTTGCTAGCCTTGGTCGTTCGTGCTGCTTTATGTTTAGCCGCGCTTTGGAATTGGCCGTGTTGGCTTGGCCTGGTGCTGCTGGGTTTCTCAGAAGTGCTTCCCCCGTCCGAGATGCTTGCGCTCACACGTGGCGATTTGATTTTCCCTAGGGACTTGTTCTACGACAGCAAGAGTTTGTTCTTAAGGATCAGCAATCCAAAGACAGCCCGTTTTGCCCGCAGGCAGCATGGACGGATAGATGATCCCAGTGTCATTGCCTTAGTAGAAACTATTTTCGGTCATTTGCAGAAAGAACAGAAGCTTTTTCCTGCGTCTATCCATGTGTTTCGGAAACAGTGGAATGCTATCATGGACAGATTAGGGGTGCCTTATCGTCAAGATTTGCATGGTGCCACGCCCGGAGTGTTGCGTGGCTCCGGCGCCACTTTTCTATACACAGGGTCGGAAGACGTAACTGGATCGCCTGGAGAGGGCGATGGAGCCGGCTAAAAACTTTGGAGTATTATCCCCAGGAAGTAGCTGCATATGTCCTGATCCATACCTTGACTCCTAGCGCCAAAGTTCGCATCGAAGAACTATCCAAACACTCCTGGTGTGTGCTGTATCAGATGTTTCTTGCAGAGCAGAATTTTAATGATGGAAGTGAATTTTAGCAGATTTCGAGCAGACTTGATAGCTTGAGTGTCAACACCCTGTCGTGGATCATTTTTTGAACTTGATGGCTTAAGTGTCAGCACTCTGGCACTCTGGCGCGATCTTTTTTGTTTTTTGCTTGACGTCTTCGAGCTCTTCGTCTTTCAGCTCAGTGCTGATGCCAAACAATGGCATACCAAGCGCACACCAGGGACTCTTTGAACCAGCAGGTGAAAAGAGCCGACTTTGTGCCAGTAGTTGAGACGAGATTATATATAATAATTATAGATATCTTACGCATAGAGATGGACACACATGCATGCATGCACGCACACACACACACATATATATATATATATATATATATACATAGGTCTAGATACACATATACACAGACACGCATGTCTTTCTCTTACATACACATGCCTATTCACACACATATATATAATTATATATATATACTAATATATATATATACTAATACATATATATATACTAATATATATATATACACTAATATATATATACTAATATATATACTATATATATATATATATACATACATATATATATAATATACACATGTAAACTGAGCCACTAAGTCACATAATTTTTGGACGTAGTGATGCCATCGTATCCCAATTTTCCAGCGCTTAAAAACCGCCGTTCGGCCGTTCGTTCAGGAACAGGTCCCAGGTGCCTCTGGGCAGTTTGGAGGAGGCTTCGGTTATCAAAGCTCCACCCATCTCGCTGCCCTTCGACACACGAGGTGCTCAGTTGGAGTAGATTGAAGGCATTGAAGGCTGAAGTAAAGATTTTAGTGGGGTCTGCGACGTCTGCGATTGATTCCATACAAATTTCATGACGTTTCCAGTTCTTCATTCAATTCTTGCAATTTAATGGGAATTGTTGCTCCAGTCCAAATGTCTTGAAGGTTGTGACCTTGGCACGATAAAGTCTGATACAGGTGCTGCATCTTAGAGGGGAAACTGTACCCAGGCAATTTCTGACGGCTTGGCAGCTTCAATGATTACGATGAATACGACGTTTGACTCTGCGCAGGCTTTCCAAGTGGACGAGGAGGTCTCTCAGATGAGGCATTGCTCCGCCAGCAAATTCTTTTTTTCCGCAATAATAAAGACAGTTGTTGTGATAGGGTCAGATGTTGTCAGAGCAATCTTCATGAATTTTCCGCATCTGTGGCTAATTTTCCTAGGCCGTCGCTATGGCCCGCTATGGCGCTCAGGATATCTTGTCCCGCAGCCAGCTGCTGTATGTGGACCCCCCAAGAGTGGACCTCGGTGCATCGCAGCCGTCACGTTACCGTCATGAAGTGGTCAATTTATGACATATCCTGACATATCTGACATACTAATGTAAGTAATGTAAGTAATGTAGTGATATCAGGAATCTACGGAAATCCTTCTGAGAGGGTGGTTCTATTTAAGCACTCAGTCACTTCAATTTCGAGAATGCCTGATCCGGTATCCAAGTATTGATCTTGTAGACTTGCAAACTGGGTAGTTGTGCAAGCTGGTCTTTGTTGATCTTCGTTTTGTTTAGGATCCTTTGATGTTCAACATTACCTCAAAACATAAGACATGTGAACAAACAACTTGTTGGGTGTTTTTCCGGTAAACATTGTCAGTTCATCCAATCGTTATTTTCATCTTGTTGAGTCTTGTCAGTTTTTCCAAGGTTTTGTTAGGACATCAATGCAGCTTCCTCTCAACGGGCCGGGCACTTCCCCCCAGATCTCACCGCCCAGAACAGCAGAGCAATACGTGGGGCCGCCGTCAGCCTGCCATGATTTGTGCCTTCTGGAAGTGGCAAAATCCAATGGCAAAAAATGGCAAAATTAAAGTTGTGGGATTCACATCTAATGGGAATCACTTTCAGTATGTTCATTCAATTCATTGGGCGATGGCTCCTCAAGTTCTAAGTTTTGGTGAGATACCCGGGGATTACACATTTGAAACGCCCGGAGTGCATGAGTAGTTTCAGACCTTAGGGCCTGTGGGTGAACCCCACGAGCGCAGAGGTATTGTGACCATGCATGTGGTCACAAGGATGACTTGCCCCCGAGGTTATCAACTTGGAGTTAGCTGAAACTTGCTGTAACTTGCTGTTGATATTGCATCCGGATATCTTGTGTTCCCTCTAAATTTCGCACCATCCACATCAAGGCCGCGTAGCCAGGTGCATGGCCCCAGAGCAAGTCGCAGAGCAAAAGCAGCTACACCACCTATCCGCATAGCAGGAGCTGAGCCATGCTGAGCCCAGGTTTTTGATGAGAACACCCCTTGAACTTGTTGGGTGATGGTATGTGATGGTTAAGGGGTAGACACTACCTGGAGATATCTGAAGAAATGAAGACAATACCATCAGGTACCTCTATGGTACCTCTGCAATGGAGCGATTTGCGGGGATGAGCACTCGGCATCGTGCCAGGAGTGTAGAGTTACGGTTCTTTGGAGGTCGCAGGCGCCGCAACCGTGCTGCAACTCCGAAATTGGACCTATGTTTTCTTAGAGATAGAAGGATTAGAAATGATTGGAAAGCAGGCTTCCCGACTGTCTTTTTATAAAAATTATAGGCTCCTCCTTTTCAACCCCATTTTTGGACGGGCGGGAGCCTTTGATGGATTGCTCCTTGTGTAAAGACTGTGAGCATTGTGCCTTGTGCCTGCGGTAACGCTGGCTTTTTTTCGACACAGTTGGCCAAGTGTGGGGTGCATACTGGGATGGTGGTATGATGCCGTTGGCCGGGAGCGAGTGTTTATCCCTTTTGGCCAACACATCCCGAGATCGGGACTGAGATATTTGTTGCGAGGGGACCTATCGGTTCCAAACGCGCTTTGCGTCGACAATGACAGTGCAAACGTTACCCATAGACATATATACACCAGTGTTGCTTGAAGGATAAGGATTGTGATGGATTAGGCAACACCACCAAAGACGTTTATTGGAAGCTCATGTTTCAGCCCAAGAGAAACAGAATTTAACCCTGCCTGTGCCAATTTTCGACTGGACAACCCCCTCTTACAATTCTTATAACACAATTCAAAGCGGATTGCAGAAATCTTATTTTGGATTTCGAAGTCATCAGTCTAACCGGGTTTCCCCCCAAGCCTGAACAGTACCAGATCAATTTCTCGGCAATTGCCCAGACGACCTAGACATTCCAGGCATTCCGCAAATCCAATTGCCCCAGCGTCGTTTTGGCGTTTATCACTCCTCATGCCCCGACATGGCCGCAGTCATTGGCATTTTGGAGAAAGAGATTGGTACAGCTCCAAGTCAGACGTCGCCTTCCAGCAAGGATGCCACAAGTGGCCAAGGACGGGGCTTGCTTCGGTGGAATTTGAGAAGGGAACTTGGTCGAGAAGTCGAGAAGTTCAGTGTTTGATGTGTTTGCAAGAGTTGCACCTTTAGTGTCATGATCATACATATTATATATACATATATTATATATATATATGATTACTATATATGTTTGTTATTCTCACAGTTTTTACAATTTAGTTTATGCCTCATGATTCCATCTTTCCCCAGGCCTTTTAAGGGCAAGAAGCTGGAAGAAGGTTTGCTTTTCTGGATTCCTGTTCTCCAACCCTGACATCGAGATTAAAACATAATCAGACATGTCAAACAACAATACCTCACTCATTGGAGAGGATCATATGATTCATATGAAATGAACATATATGATATGCTTGAAGCTGCTTGAACCTTGTCGTGAACTCGGGGACAACTTCGGAATGGGGGAGACGCTGTTCGTTTTTGTTTTTTGGCCCAATCTCCTGGCGTCCTGGCGTCCTGGCTGTGTCCTGTGTCAGGCCCCTGGGTGCTGGTCAGAACTTGTCCTTGCGACGATGTGGTACGGCACCTGCACGCAGGTGGGGCACCTGTGATCTGCGACGATCTGCGACGATCTGCGATTGCGCATTCGATTCAAGATCCATCGTTGTCATTTTTTGGGTACTAAACTACAAATTACAGAACCACTGTGGCACTCACCTCGAATCAAAATCTGAAGCTGTTCTTGTGGTATTTAAACATATTTAAACATATTTAAACTGGCTAGATCTTAGAGGTCACCCGGCCATGGACTCCGTAGACCTGGGTCCAATTTTTCAACCTGACACGCCAGCATCGAATCGGTCTTCGGACGAGGTAGCGGCCTGAGGCGATTTCAACGGGAGAAACGGAGAAACCAACAGCTGAATTGGATTGAGAACGGCAAAGATTGAAATTAAGAATTCTAAGAGACTTTCTAACTAAGAGACTTCAACAATCCTTTTTGTCTCAAAGGTCAAACTATTTTGTATAACATGGCACCCAAAGGCATGGACATCCTTTGGTGGGAGGTCATCGCCTTCAATTTTCGAGTAACCCCAGATTCTGTACAGTTTTCATGTACAGCTTCAGGCCAAGTTCATGTGATTGGAATACAAATGGAATCACATGGAACCACATGGAAACAGCTTTTCGATCTTTTTGTAGACTTTATAAAAAAAACAAATCTTCACTTCACCAAGGTCCTATGGCCAAAGTGGGCCAACCATGGAAGAGTTTGGATGGTTCAATCCAGGAATTGAGACCTGTGGATCCAGTGGGTTGATGGGCCAAAATGGACCCACCCATGGGCCATGTCAGGTTGTGCGCGCCCTGCGAGGGTTGATCCGAACTGAGTCGAACAGTCGTTTTTCAATGTTTTTCATGTCGACTTCAAGAGACGATGTTGTCACTCTCAGAATCTTTCAGAATCTTTCAGAATCTTTCAGAATCTTTCAGATTTCATCGGATCACCCAGAAATAGAGGCTAATGTTACCCGAGTTACCCGGTCTTGAGTTCTAGACCTTAGATTTAGATGACTTAGATGACTTAGATGACTTAGATGACTTAGTTGACTTAGTTGACCTAGCTGCCTTAGCCCATGCCATGGGGGATCCGCAGGCATTTTCTACAATATCCACTTCTGGTATTTCTCCATTGTTTTTTTTGGTCTGCAAGGATCCCTCAGCATGCTGTTTAGGGTTCCGGCGCAGATTTTCTCAATCACTGCATCACCATTGCTCCAACCTGATGGATCAGTGGCAGTGAGTGACCCTGCGTCAGAGCTGAGCAAATCCAGGATGTGCATCTGCCGGCACATTTGTTGATTTTGTTGGCTGTGAAGATTTTGTTTCCTGTCAGAGGACCTACTTTTCAATGGTGGGACGGTTATTGTCCGTTTTGCCTTGATCGCAGGCTTTGCTTATACATCTTATACGTCTCTGTTAAAGTGGTGCCAACTCGGCAGGCACATCCACTGGTTCAAACTTCCTTCAAGAAGAGCTATAGGAATCCGAAATCGGTATGATGCACAGTCCCCAAAGAGGGATGTTGAGGAATGGCCCAGGGTGTTCCAATTGGCCCCTGCCAAGTGTTCCTGGTTGTTTGAATGACACTGCAACAAAGTTGAATGTGTTTCTGTAGTCCAACAAATCACCCAAAAGCTGCCGATATTATTCTTCTTGGAGTCTTATCACTGAATGGCTGCCGTATTTCTTGTTGACATTGCTTCATTCACCTGACCTCCGGGTTTTCGCCAAGAAAGGAGCATCGAGGGCTGCAACATAGTGTAACAATGTGTAACAGCTATGAGGGGTTGCCTCACGGCTGCGGCAGTTTTATTTTGGCCGAGCATCCAAGATGCAGCTGGCCAATGGAAAAGTCGAGCTGCGATGGCATGATTGAGATATCTTGGGATCAACGGCGATTGTCAGGGTGCCAACTTTGCCATACTCTTCTTGACCTGGTGATTCTCATTGAAGATATTGAAGTTTAGGGCAGCCACAGACTATCTGATCCACAAGGGATGACTTAAATTGTGACCGTCGACCGTTCAGAAACCGTGCTCGGAAACATTAGGAAACTATTTAGCTACACAGGAAGCATCAGGAAGCCATGGCACGAAGATGTAAAACGATCCCGTGGTCTCATTGGTCGATCGTTCACTTCAGCGGGTTTGCCAGTTGTGACGTCACTTAGGTCTTGTTGCGGCAAGGAAAACCAGCGGGGTCACCCATTTGCGCAGCGATTGGACGCAGAATTGGATTCCCACTAAATTTTAAATTCTCTGGCTGTTTCTGCTTTTGGGATGTTTTTGGGACAGAAAACCTTACTGTAGGTCTCGACCTTGGCCGAGTTGGAAGCGGCGCTTTGCCTCGCAGAGAAGAAAAGCCTTTCGGACTCAGAAGTCACCCTCCATGATGTTTGACGATGGTTGAGAGAAGCATGTGACTGGCATGGGATCAACCTGGGGCCTTGCAAAAATAAAATGTTCTTGAAGACATGATGAAACTATGCCAGATTTTTTTGATAAACAGATGCTAATTCATGATAATATCATAAGATTATTATACATTATTAAAATTTATATTTGTGGTAGTTGCTTATTGTTTCTCCTCTGGCAGCGACGGGACCTGCGTCTGAGGTTTGCTTGCCCCAGAGGAGATTTGGCAGCGGTGGCACAGCCTTTCTGCCTCAGTTGCTTGGCCGACCTCTTTGGAAAAAGGCTGGGAATTCATCCGATGAACCAAGGCGAACCAAGGAGTCTCAGTGCAAAGTTTCACTGACTGTTTGGCCTTTGGGCACCCTGACGTGAGCGCTTTGAGACCTTGAACAGCTTTTGAAGCGCTGCAAAGCCTTTGTGAACCCTCTGCCTTACCCATGGACTGAAGCTCGAACGGCGAGTTTTTCACCTTTCACACACCGTTGGCCGGGTGTGGGGCACATGCCGGGGCGATGGTACGACTCCGCACGTTACCCCTTTTGGCCAACACATCAAGATTTGCAAGATATCTGGTGTATGACAGCGAGACGATGCGCTATGGTGCTCGCTGGGGTGTCCAGGCTCTTCCTGGCTGGCATGTTAGGAGGGGAGGCCCATTTCCCACGATTCCAAGAGCTGTGCCACGTTCCCAAACCTTGGAGGTTTCCGGAACTTTCTGGCCCAAATTTGGGACACCTTGTTTCACCCATGTCCTTCAAATCATGGCTCTTAAATTTCTTAAATTAGGAGATGATTTGGGGGCTATGGCTCAGTTGCTGGCAAGATGGCAGCATGCAGGAATTCTGTACACTGTAAACTTTGGGGGTACTTCATTGAGGTTCCATTTGAGTATTTCCTGGGAATGGAACAACAGCTGCTAAACTATTTAAGCAAAGTCAATCCCTTCCACATTATCACACTCCTAAATGAAATGAGGTACAGCTCGTACTACTTGAACCACACGGTGCTCTTTCAAAGAGCAGCACAGAGTATGGAGAAGCAGAAGAATTACACATTTGATATGTGTTGATACATGGCAATTGCGTTTCCACATGTACATTAACCTTCTTGGTTATTTCATTGTTATCCAGAATCTGATACGAAACTCTTAGAAAAACACTTGTAACATCTTGTAACTTGTATTAACCATTACTAACCTGTCTTTACTTTCTACGTAGAAAGTAAACATCTTTCTGGCCAACACCGCAGGAAACGGCCTCCGTTGCGTCCTGTCCGTTGTGCTCCCAGGCCGTGGCCTGGTCCTTGGACACCTTGGCCACCGCCGACCCGGCGCGGCGCGGCGAGCCGCCGGAGCCGCCGGAGACGTGGCACTCGCAGGCGCTGCAGATGCTGCCGGGGAGCCCGGAACGGGGTGAGCCTTAAATGCGCCACATGGTGCGATGCCAAGATTGTTGATCTTGGGATCTTGAAGCTTGCTGATCTGAAACTATTCTCATTCACTCTGTGTGCGTGTGTGTGTCAATCATTTGACTTTTGCCCAGTTGACTCTTTTTGTTTGATGGTGATTTCACCATGAAAGTTATTTCAAAAGATTTGCCATCCCAAATGGATTGGGATGGGTGGAAACGGCTGATTTTGCATTTTGCGCTATGATGTGTTGAGTTATGATAGCAATGTTTTACTCGCTCAGATGTAGTGAGAGTATGACCAGCTCTTTATCGATTACCGGAAAATCCCAAGGTTTGGATTCGCGTCTGAATTTTCGACCCCACCGATTGGTGATTCTCAATATTTAGAGCAAATTTGCTCCATGAAGGCGACAGGGCACATGCACACTACGGAAGAAACAACGTGAATGAGCAGCCCTTCTCTCCTCCAAGATAAATTGAGGACAACGGCACAGGATGCGATTGAGCAAGAGCAACATTTGTTTTTGGTCGTTGAACACATGATGTGCCCCCCCTTGATCTTAGCATGCTTGGCTGCCACAGCCTTCAGGTGCGTTGCGGAGATCCTGACCCGTCCTGAAGTGGCTGTGTCTTGACTGCATGGCATCGTCGATGATGGAGATTTCAAATGCATAATCATGGACCCACTTATAAAATCTTATAAACATCAGGGTACATCTAACATTGAGTGAAACCACCCATGAAACTCATGAAACCAAGATTCATGATTCATCCTGAAAAGTCTCTCGACTCCACCCAGTCTCCTGGGCTTCCCAATCTTGTCCTACAGGGATCACATTGCCCTGGTCGTATCCCAGTGGCAGGAGACGTATAACTGTCACGACACACCCTTGCGGCCTTTCCTGCGGGCCCTGTGCCATGGTGGTCTGGGACACTACTATCAGCTGCGCAACAAGCCACGCGCAGCTGTGCGCTTCTTGGAACAGGCCCATGGTGACTGAAACGGCAGAAAGGTATACAGAGTCAACAGCCAGAGACACGGCGCTGTTTCTATTCATCCTTTCTTAGGTCATTCTTATAGAACTTTTTACCTTTTCAAACCTGAAGTGTGACTATTGTGCAGAATCGGGCCACCTCTTGAATCCAAAAAAATCGCAAATTCAATCCTACCACACCTACCAGGACCTACCAGGACCTACCACTTTCAGATTGGAACTTCGCACAGAATCTCACCATTCGAGATAAATCGTGACGCAGGGGGCCAACGGTCAAGCCAAGTGGGCACATCCTGCCATTCTTCTCAACCTCAGCCTGGAAGCCCAGGGGTTCCTGGGAAAACATAGACAACGACAAGACGACGACAAAGGCGACGCAAGGAACTTCTCCGAAATCTCCAAACAACGATATCGATGCAGATTTGGAATGAGGAAGTCACTAGTTGCCACGTTCTTTGATGTTCTTTTAATTTTCTTTGATGTTCTTTGGGCAGTCCTTTGCAGATCTTTGCAGACACTGTGAGTTTCTTGAATCGAGTCACATGGGATCCAGGTGCCGTCCATTTGCGATTGAAAGAGCCGGGGAAGGCCCTGTCCTATCTTTGCCAGGCGAGCGGTGTGTGAATGTGCTTCGGAGATCTTCGGAGATCTTCGGATTCAAGCTGTCAAGCTCTGTTTCTCCAACCGATCAGGTTGATAATTTAAAGGTGACACGATGACAAGATCAAGACATTTTGGTAAATCAATGTAAAGATCACCTATAAATCATATATAATTCATCTATAAATGGCAGATTTTCCATGTCGTTGAAAGTACGGAAGGGCAACCCCAATCACCAACTGGCAATTCTCTGTTGGTCGGCCCCAGAGATCTACGATGCTGAAGGTGATTTTGTGCTGGTTCTTGCAGGTTATAGGCATTAATGGCCCAATTTTCACCAGTACTGTTGGTTATATCTCCTGGTGATTCCCAATTCCCGATATCCCAAATTTCAGTTGCTTGGATTCCCACTTCAATTTCCTGGGCGGCTTGGCCACACCATTTTGGTTACAAGAACTTTTAGTCCATCAAAACTGGTACTGTAGCAACTGGTGTAGCATCTCGTAGCCACAGCTTGGGACAGGTGGTTTTGGCCTTGCGCAGCGGCACTGGTCCGCTCTGCCAAGCTTCGATGGCTGAGGCGGAAAAATCCAGTGACGATGGAAAGGATCGTCCTTCCATGAATTTTCACCAAGGAGAATTGAACTAAACAAATGGCTTGGATTTGGATTGATTTTGGGCTTCACATGAAATGGGCAGGTGGAAACTGCCCTCAGAGCAGCTGGCACTGCAGTCTCGGCGGTCCTGGGACCACCAAAGGCTGGGAATAGTTTGGAAGTGATCAACCTGTTGGAGACTTTGGAACACTTCGGATGGGTAAAATTGCTGCACTTTGCTGGGTATTTCATGAGAATTTCACTTTGCAGCTTCTGGATTTGTGTAAATTTTACAATGCTCCAATGTTGACAATATTGACATCCTTCAACATGTATCCATAAACTTTTTACAGTTTGTTCGATCATGTTATCGTAATATTTTTTTCATGTTTTTTTTTCACTTTTTGTATGCTTGCAGCCACCCAACCCTCAGACGGGTCTGCAGCCTGTCTTTGACAGGAAGTTGCCCATCAAGCCGAGCGGCTCTCAGGACACAGCAGTGTCATTCCGCCGATGTCGTGGTGTCACTATGGGAATCAAACAGACAGGATTATTCGGGATTATTCGGGTATACTTTGTCAAATTTGTGGGACACTCCCGGTATCAAAACCATGGTGTGTTGATGTGTGTTGTCAGGTTGTGTTTGGCGTATGATTTTGCGTCGCGGAAAAAGGACAGTCGCTCAAAACTGAAGTGATATTTGTTCCTATAGTCTGAAGATGTCTGAAGGCACGCAAAACTCATTGAACCATCCAATTTTCGGCACATTTTGACTTCCTATCCATCACTGCCATCACTGATCATTGCACCATGACGCTTGGTCGACTCGTTTCATCTCGGCAAACAGCGTTTTTTGGCCACTTCTTTCTGACAGGTTGGGATTTCCACTTCCGTTGTGGCCATCCGTTACGAGTTTAAGTGATCAGAAATGATCAGAATGCTTAAAGCGTAACGTGTCAAAAGACATTAAAACACGTTACCCAAGATGAGATAAAGAACCGTTACGAGACCGTGAAATACGGGAAACCAGCATACCGATGCATACCGATGCATACCGTTACTCTAAAAACCAAAAACCAGGGAATGCCACCGGGTGTGACCGGGTGTGATGACAGACTCGACAGACTCGACGGGAGCTCCGAGCTCGCCGAGGCCATGGTGGAGTTGGACCCTTTCGGAGCTCAGCTCAGAGCTTTCCGATGGCGAAAGGAGAAAACGGTGAAACGGTTTTGTTTTTCGTTTTAACAAAAAGGTTTTGTAACCTGCTTTTTCTCTTCAAATTCAAACGAAAACGATGACGAAGTGAGTCAATGTTGGAACTGGAAACTCTGGTGAAATTGGAACAGATTTTGCCAAGTTTGCACAGCCCATTTGAGTTTTTTTTCCTCACGAGGCCATGGAATCGAACTCGGGGAGGAGAACGGAAAGCCAGAAACCCGATCCAGTGTTGTTCCGCTCTAGGGGAAGGTCCCCACATACCAGGGGTTTGCAACATATACTTTATTGATCTTTAATGATAGGGAATTCCTCAGAGGGGTGGACACTTCGAAGAGACCAGAAGTCTTCTTCCGGCAAACTACGATATGTATCGATATGTTAATATCGAAATCTATTTAAATGTATTATACATAATATATATATATATAATTAAATTTAATCAACATCTGGATTGCCGGAGTGTATTATACACACATCGTTGCTTTATTGTCTGCAAATTCAAATTTTAACCTCCGTTCCTTGCTGGTTTGCAACATTTCTTTTTTTTGGAGCGTTTGAGAGGTCGAGGGGGTATCTCCCGCAGCACGACTTGGAGCTCCTTCTAATCTCTACAACTTTACAAAGACCAATGGTTCTTCCAGTTTTAATAGGGACCTGGATCTGTTCTCTTAGGGCTATCCGATTGCACCTGGGCCTAGAGGGGAGTGAATCGGCTGTGGCATGTAGTTTTTGCAGGCCTTTGAGGTCATCGTATCAAACCTGCAGACTTCAACCAGTGTCTGGTTGACCCCAGCTTTGAGGCATAATAAAATTTACTGATTTCAAGGGATTCAAGATGATTCAAATATTTCGAGGCCTGTTTTGTTCTGGCATGAATTCTTTGGGAGCAATTCAGCAGGGAGAAGCTACGGTTGAACGATGTGATTCGACCTGAACATGAGTCACATTGCCAACTGTCAGGATCCACTTGGGATAGATTTGGATAGATTGTAGGATGTTGTACTATCCAAATCTATCCAATATATTGGGAAGAATGCCTATCAATAAACCGTCGTTATAATATGTTATAATGATTTGGGTGGGTCTGTACATATCAATAGTTCAATAAGTCTCGTCGAAGATACAACATGATATAAAGATCTTTCGAATCTTTACAGATCTGGCAATTGCAGCCATGGAGGTGTGCTCCGCGGTCTCAGGCGAGACGCTGGCATTCCTTGACCCAGACGAGTTCAAAGGAAAGTCGGCCAAGTATGTGAAACAATGCTTGGCAGCCAAGGTTGGCGTCACCAGATTTCGGCAAAAACTGCTTGCAGACGGCTTAGATGGCTCCGAGATCCCAGATGATACGGTCTTTGCCCGGGCTTCTGTCAAGGTTCAGCTGGTGACTTTGGACTTTTGGCCGTCTGATGAAGAGCAAGACCAACAACTCATCTCCACACCGAAGAAGAATGATGCAGTTTCGCTTGAACAAATGTTGCAACAGCCACGGACTCCCAGCGTGACAGATAATGCCGGCGAGACTCCGCTGCACCACGCGGCTGAGCATGGACATACAGCACCATTGAAGCTATTGCTTGAGGTGCAGAGAAAGATGAGATTCAAATGGGCGGACGCCTTTGGGGCAGCTTTTAGGGGCCATCCTACCATCCGCCTTCTGGGTGAAGTTGGGGCCGACGGAAAGTGGGAACACAAGGCATCTCAACATTCTCAACATCGTTCGTTTCCTGACTGAAACCGGATTGGACAAGGACCTACAGTACCGCTGAACCAAGGTGGACACCTTTGCATGTTGTGGCTCAGGCAGGGCATCTTGACGTTGTCCGCTTCCTGGTTGAGGCTGGGGCCAGAAAGGATCAACGCCACTGTTTGCTGCAGCTGACAAGGGTCAGTTTGAAATTGTCCGCTGGCTGCTTGCATGTGGCGCTGCAAAAGACAAGGCAAATGATGATGGGATGTCACCTTTGTGGATTGCAGCCGCAGGAGGACATCTCGACAAGGTCCGTGTACTGCTTGAAGCCGGGGCCAACAAGAATAGAATCAGTACACGAAAACCAGTGTAGCTCCATTGCACAGTGATCTGGCAGCAAAGAAAGGACAAACTGCTTGTGATTTGGCCTTGATAGATGGCCATGAGGAGGTGGCTGATGAACTTGCGGCCAAGCGATGCCAAGCGTCCCATGTCAGTGGGTAGGTGACTGCTAGAGTTGCTACCATGGCTTGATGGCAAGAAATCTGCCTGGACAGCGGGTGCTTTGGGCAAATTTGCCGGATCTCCACCAGTCACGGTGTATAGGACTATCATATTATACGACAGACATCAAGAAGACCAAATGTGATGGGCTTCGAGCCACCTTCGCCAAACATGTCTGTTCAAAGAACTTTTTGTGAGTAAGTCTGACAATATCACGGCGACCAGATTTGATATGGTCAGTACCTCGCTTAAGCCTACGTTTTTACTCGCTTACGCCTACGTTTGTGAAATATGATGGCAGCACCAATAGAAAGTGACATAGAAGTCTTTCAATATGACTGCAACAGGTCCGACAGAGATGATGAGCAGGACATTTTGATTCGATCATATGAATTGCATGTCACTTTGCAGAAGATGTTTCAACGTATCAGGAATATGTCGCAATGTATCAGGAACATGTTTGAACTCACTTGAAGAAGTTGCTTCAACGTATCAGTAACATCTGGCAAGTTACTGTAAGACGAGGTGACAACGTATCAGGAAGGTCGTGCAATTTACTTACAAGTAGGAAGATGTTGCAACGTATCAGGAATGTATTGCAAGCTACTTGACGAAGATGTTGCAAAAAACCAGGAACATCATTCAAGGGACTTGAAGAAGATGTGACAACGTCATGCATGGAACATGTCGGAAGTGTCGCGCAGAAGATGTCACAATGCATCAGGAAGGGGTTGCAAGTCATTTGAAGAAGATGCTACAACGTATCAGGAACATCTGGCAAGTTACTGTAAGACGAGGTGACACATGTATCAGGAAGGTCGTGCAATTTACTTACAAGTAGGAAGATGTTGCAACGTATCAGGAATGTATTGCAAGCTACTTGACGAAGATGTTGCAACATAGCAAGAACATCATTCAAGGGACTTGAAGAAGATGTGACAACGTCATGCATGGAACATGTCGGAAGGGCCGCGCAGAAGATGTCACAATGTAGCAGGAACGTGCTGCAAGTCACTCGAAGAAGATGCTACAACGTTTCAGGAACATCTGGCAAGTTACTGTAAGACGAGGTGACACATGTATCAGGAAGGTCGTTCAATTTACTTAAAAGTAGGAAGATGTTGCAACGTATCAGGAATGTATTGCAAGCTACTTGACGAAGATGTTTGCAAAATAGCAAGAACATCATTCAAGGGACTTGAAGAAGATGTGGCAACGTCATGCATGGAACATGGCGGAAGGGCCGCGCAGAAGATGTCACAATGCAGCAGGAACGTGTTGCAAGTCACTCGAAGAGGATGCTACAACGTATCAGGAACAAGTGTCCCCTAAGCCCACCCCAAGTGTCCCCAAGTGTCCCCTAAACCCACCCCAAGTGTCCCCAAGTGTCCCCTAAGCGTCCGCAAGTGTTGAGCTAAAGGGCTGTATCCCTTGGAGTTGGTTCCCTAGGCCTACCCCAAGTGTCCCCAAGTGTCCCCTAAACCCACCCCAAGTGTCCCCAAGTCCAAGTGTCCGTATCCCTTGGAGTTGGTTCCCTAAGCCCACCCCGAGTGTCCCCAAGTGTCCCCTAAACCCACCCCGAGTGTCCCCGAGTGTTAACCAAAAGGGCTGTATCCCTTGGAGTTGGTTCCCTAAACCCACCCCAAGTGTTCCCAAGTGTCCCCTAAACCCACCCCAAGTGTCCCCAAGTGTCCCCAAGTGTTAACCAAAAGGGCTGTATCCCTTGGAGTTGGTTCCCTAAGCCCACCCCAAGTGTCCCCAAGTGTCCCCTAAACCCACCCCAAGTGTCCCCAAGTGTCCCCAAGTGTTAACCTAAAGGGCTGTATCCCTTGGAGTTGGTTCCCTAAGCCCACCCCAAGTGTCCCCAAGTGTCCCCTAAACCCACCCCAAGTGTTCCCAAGTGTCCCCTAAACCCACCCCAAGTGTCCCCAAGTGTTAACCTAAAGGTCTGTACCCCATGGAGTTAACTCTGAAGTCAACATACAAAATGTCGGCTTATAATGAGTAAAAAAGTCGGCTTAAGTGAGTCTCGGACCAGATTTGAACTCCCAAACATGGAAGTTGG